GTTGGAGCCACACGCAAGTGTGAGTAACGATCCAAGAGCAAGTCTTATCCGACACTATTCCGATGATATCCCAGACGTCAGTGTAAGCGAGATTAGAATGGCTCTCCAGCACCTTAAAAATGGCAGGCCCCAGGCGAGGATGGAATTACAGCGGAGCTTCTGAAAGCGGGTGGAACACCGGTACTTGAAGTCCTTCAGAAGCTCTTCAATTCCGTCCTCCATGGTTGCACTACTCCAGAGGCGTGGATCAGAAGTGCGGTAGTCTTGTTCTTTAAGAAAGGCGCCAACGCTCTCTTGAAGTACTACAGACCGATTTCCCTTCTGAGCCGCGTCTACGTGCTATTTTCGAGAGTCATTACGAATCGTCTCGCACGCAGTCTCGACGACTTCCAGCCTCCCGAACAAGCCGGTTTCCGAAAAGGCTTCAGCACCATAGACTACATACATACCCTGCGGCAGATTGTACAGAAGACTGAAGAGTAAAATCTGTCACTTTGCCTGGCGTATGTGGACTATGAGAAAGCCTTTGATTCCGTCGAAATTTGGGCGGTGCTACAGTCCCTTCAGCGCTGCCAAGTTGACTGTCGGTATATCGAAGTGCTGAAGTGTTGGTACAGTAGGGCTACGATGGCTATCCGAGTACAGAACCAGAGCTCGAAACCTATCCAACTGCAGAGAGGTGTAAGACAGGGTGACGCTATATCCCCGAAACTCTTCACCGCTGCATTGGAAGACGTTTTCAAGCAACTGGACTGGAAAGGAATAGTATTAACATCAATGGCGAGTACATCACTCACCTTCGATTTGCCGACGATATAGTCCTTATGGCAGAATCGCTGGAGGACTTAAGCACTATGCTCAATGACCTCATTAGTGCCTCCCAACGGATAGGTCTTAAGATGAACATGGACAAAACAAAGATCATGTTTAATGTCCATGTCACACCTATGCCGGTAGTTGTTGGGAGCACTATGCTCGAAGTTGTTGACGAGTACGTTTACCTGGGACAAATAGTCCGACTAGGTAAGTCCAACTTCGACCGAGAGGTCAATCGACGGATTCAACTCGGCTGGGCAGCGTTCGGGAAATTACGACACATCTTCTCGTCAGGTATACCTCAATCTCTAAAAACTAGATTGTACAACCAGTGCGTGTTGTCAGTGATGACTTACAGATCTGAGACGTGGTCCTTCATTGCTTGCCGTATGAGGACGCTCAAGGTCGCTCAGCGAGCTATGGAGAGGGCTATGCTCGGAGTTTCTCTGCGCGATAGACTCAAAAATGAGTATATCCGCAGTAAAACTAGAGTGACCGACATAGCCCAACGGATTAGTAAACTGAAATGGCAATGGGCCGGCCATATAGCTCGAAGAATCGATAACCGATGGGGAAGAAAGGTTCTCGAGTGGCAGCCTCGTACCGGTAGGCGTAGTGTAGGGCGACCCCCCACTAGATGGAGTGACGACCTGGTAAGATATGCAGGCAGTCGATGGATGCAGGTGGCTCAGGACTGTGCTTTGTGGCATTACTTGGGGGAGGCCTATGTTCAGCAGTGGACTTGTGAAGGGCTGTAATGATGCTGATGATGATGGTGTATATATATATTACTAAATAGATGCTATAATTAACGCTGGAATTCTTGCAGAGGTGTTACTCCTTCAAACGAGCCTCTTTCGTGCTAATACTATAGCTGCAGAGTGGCTCTACCACCTATACAAAGTTCGGTAAACATGTAATCAGTCCAGCTATTTGTTTCCGTTACATTTATTTTTGTGGGTCCGTAAACGATTTAGGCCCCCATGTTAAATGTGCTTTACGTCAGATAGAGGTTATGATACTACAAAGCCAGCTGGAAAGCCACCACCACTATCTAAAATTTAAAGTAAAAAACACTGTCATTCGGAATTATTTATAATCTATCCATCACAAAAAGTCGTTTATCATGCATCTTATCTTATGAAGCCACCTCTCCACAATACGCACCAAGCCGTCACTGTGGCAGTTTTGCTTGGTGATGTAGCCCAAATATAAATGAACCTCATCAGAACATATTTTTTATTTATTTATTAAGGTTTACCAATGTTTGATTACAATATATTTAACAAAATGGCTTTAGAACTAACTTACGTAGCTAGTGTAACAATCGTTTAAGGTATACACCACATGCATCGAGAAAGATTATATATACTTATGAATAAAAGGAAGTATAATTTTGAGCAGTATGATATGATATGATAAATATGAATCGTCATCCATTTTTATTCCATATTGTCCTCTAACATCCACGTCTCACGAACTTTTACATAAAGTTGGGTAAAGCGGAATTTAGACCAAAACTTCTTTTTAAAATACCCACTGTTTCGGCTTTACGGTAATTACTTTGGTAGCAAGTCATCATTATTAGCTAACGTTAATTAAGCGTAAATCGATTCATTATGTTATTCGTAAATATGATGCTGTTTTTTGACATTGCCGTTTTATTTTGAGCGGTGAAGGAGATGTCAGTTTTATAAGAACTTATATTTTTTTATAGAATAAGGGTGACAAACGAGCACACAGTCCACCTGATGGTAAGTGAATGCTGTGACCCGTAGACATCTACATCTATCCTCGATTACGAATCAAAATGCAGATGCATTTTCACCCGTGAGGGCTAAAATGGAATACCTCGTTTCTAGTAAAAATTCTCCTTTTCACTCATCATACGAAACATAGCAGTATTAAGTTGCTATTTTACGCTGATATTCTGTGAGAGCATAGTTCTTCCCCGGTCGAGCCTATTCATGTTACAACCATAATATAGCCGCAGCGTGGCTCTACCACGTACAGAATAATAAATAAGGTCCACTTTTCAATCCTCAAATAAAATTTATTTATTGAATAAATAAATAAAAAACTATAAAATTAAAATTAAAAAACTATAGTTGCTGGAAGAAAATAGTTTAATTGTTTCACTTTTATGTTCAGTCAGGTTATAGTTAACTTAACGGATAACTTTTAACTGACGAAACGAAATTTTGTCGAACACTCAAATACTACAATATTTTTTAGTTATATGAACATATCTTTTACTTTACAACATCTAATATATAAAAACTAATAAATTTTTGTTCGTATTTTATGCGCTGCTATACCGGTCATCAGATGTTTTTCATTCATCAGATGAACTTTGTTTACATATAGCTTGCACTTTCGCAAAGGTTATAGGAATAGCTAGACCCGGTAGATGGCGCTGTTGTAGAATTCACCCGATATCACCCGCGCGGAGCCGGGACAGATCGCTCGTTATCTGTAAAATAGATAATGTCATTGAGTAATAGTTTACTTATATGTATACAGAATTGGGTAGACAACACCACCATGATAATAGGGCGTCATTTCATAGATATAAATACAGATATTATACTATTAAAAATATCTTACAAGATTATTTAAACACAATAGAAATTGCTTATGGTATATGTTAATTGCTTATGCTATAAAATCTAGACAACTACTTACAACAGGAAAATGTAGAAAATATTAATAAAGAAAAATAATAAAATAAATGATTAGTGTGAAACTATTTAGATTTTCAGCCCTAAATACGTTCGAAACACTTTTAAGACGAATTAAAGTATTGAGGGAATCCTTAATTTATTATATTAACAGCTTGATACAAAAAAATAAGTTCGTTAAATAAAACGAATTTTACGAATTTTAATTTAATTTATTTTTAATAGCTGACGTTTCGGTTGCTTTTCGGTCACGGTCACGGACGGAAATTAAAAATAAGTAAAATTTAACACGATAAAATCCATAAAATACATTTTAGTTTATGTTAAGTATTCATGTAACTATAAGAAATCAAAGTAAGAAAAGTTTAATAACTATTTTAAAGGTTTTCTCATTGTTTCATATTAAATTTTATTTTATATTTAAATAAAGGTCGTTAAAAGAAGTGGGAAATATTGCTGTGCATACGTACTTTGAACGACAAGTTAGACAACGTAAGTGGTTAAGTGAAAAATTATCCACCCTCCCCCAAGTCACATAAAACAACTCATGAACTCATAGAAATATAGTAGTACTTATTATTTCAATGCATGAACTAACCAAGTAAAGAAGGTAACATTTTGTTTTTGAAAATTTATTCCACACATCACAACACACAGACTTGGCAAAAGAAATAAAAATAATTAATCCTACTATGAAGTTGCTAATTTCTTATTTACCTATGTTATATTTATATTATATTTAAAAATGGATAAATACGAGTATACAGAATATAACCTTTGATACAAATTGAACTATTTACCTATATAACTGAAGAATAATATATAGAAAACTTTAATGATTATAAAAATTAAATACATATTTATAAACACAGATTAATTTTTTAATCATAGCACTACAATTATCTATTACGATTATTATTAAACGATATTCAAGTGATTTTTTTTTAATTTTGTACTAATAATTTAATATACTACGTTTTTTTCTACATTGTTTATTATTTCATTGTTATCCGATTTTCAGCTGTGTCAAAATTTCAAGTTACTAGCTGAATGGGAAGTGCTTGAAATTGAATTGCAAGATTCCACCCGGAACGACAGACGGACTAGACTTCTACAAGGATAAGTAAAGATTTCTAAATACAAAGAATAAGTCGTCATGGACATGGAGGAATGAGTGTTTATGTAAACCTTGCATATAAGATTGCTAGCAGGGCTTGCATCATCTGTCATAGAACGAACCACATAGCTCTACACAAGCACATATTCATCATTGGACTATATCGAGTTATAATGATTTCATAAACGTTAATTTCGTTAAAACCTATTTTATGTTAATTAAACCCGCAGATTAAAAATTCACGAACTAACAGATAACGTGTAGTAGTAATTATTTCGTTTAAAAACACTGACACACAGTCAAAGTACAGACGTTAAACAGACTTGACGTCTGGTTACTGTAGCTGCTTGTTTTGTATATTTTTATTAGTTCAGACGAAGGTCAATATGTTGTTACCAATTTTTCACTTGTTCGCTGCGGGAATTGATACGTATGTGATGTGGTACGACCAGCATTACGTGGAATTACCTGTACACAATGAACTTCTTAAAGGCTTGCCATTGAAATCTCGGTCTATGTTCTTAACTATTTGGTGCCTTGTAAGTATTTGTGGATTTAAAATATTTTTTTACTCAATTAGTAGTAATTTAAACAATTTGTTACATATTAACATAACAATAAACAATAATATATAATGTATTGAATGAATAGGTACCAAATTGCAATACGCAAACTACTAAATAATACATAATAGATATACTAATTATTGTTTATTATGGTTAATATATAATGTTGTAACGACATTGCCGCATTGTATGATTTATATATTATTTTATTAATGTGTATTTTTGTATGTAAAATAAAACTTTAATATTGAAAATACATCGTCGCGTCTAATTTAATATTTAAGGTTTTATATCTGGATTGAAGTCAATATCGTCAGCAAAACCTCTATTAACATACGCTCGAGGCTCAGGTAGTATTATTATTTATTCTGTGACGCGGGCGCTCGGATTTATCTCATAATAAAGTTTAAAATAATAAATCATAAACGCTGTACATTCAACAATAATATAAAATAATTATGAACTTAAATTAGTACTAATTGCAACTCAGTAGTATAAATCTTTATCGTTTGTTCCCACCAGATGGGATTTTAGATAAGCACTGGCTCATAATATGTAGGTAAAAAAATCTTATGTAATTTTAAATTATTCGCGGCCTTCATAAAAGTGCATCTACAGGTTATAAAATTACGACATAATTACATAGACATAGCCCATATCTAGCGTGCTATAATAGTAAAGTTACAGCATATATACGTCCCACTGTTGGGCACAGGCCTCCCTTCTTTTGCAAGGGCAAGGAAGTCCGCCGCGCTGCCCCAATGCGTGTTGGCGAACTTCACATGTCTTCGAAATATTTTTTCCCTTATTCCTCAGGCATGCAGGTTTCCTCACGATGTTTTCCTTTACCGCCGAGCACGTGATAAATCAGCACTTAAAATTGCAATTAACAATTTCATTGGTGCCGGCGGGGATCGAACCCGGGTTGCTCGTGTTCTGTTATATTTACAGCGAGTGTTAACCATCTGAGCTACCACGGCTCCAGCGTGCTACAATAGGTATTATTTTAAAGTAATTATCCTAACATTCGCGCATTCGTTATCTAGCAGTTAGCGTGACTGATTACTAACTTTAAAGTCAAAGTAATTCATGTTTGTAATCAAACGTGACTCTTTCATTTATTGTTCACAGCTTATCGAAGTCCACTGCTTAACATATGCCTACTCCATTAATTGTCTCTTATCAGACCGGTAGGCAAACCGCAGCAGTTAGCAGTTTTTTATTATTGTGAGTTGCTACCAGAAATATGGTGCTGTCTTTTTTCCTCTGTCGCCTCTTACGATACCCTCGGTAGTTATATAAGGTAGTAGATTACGTCTCCATTAAATGGCTGACGTGAGTGCACACCTTTAATAATTGTCCTACCTATCATCAGCTGGACTTGCAAACTTTATCGTTACACTAGACTGCGAATATAGGGAAGTTAGAGCAGAGAATTAAGAATGACTGAGGAGATAAATAATGAATGAATGAGTGAATGAATCTGAGTTCTCCCTTCACAATAGGTAATCTTAATTCTACGTATTACAATAGTGACAGTAAAAAGACCTGACGTAAGGTAGATGTGATGAAATAGAATAAAGGTGTGACGTCAGATTTATTATAGAGTAAGGGTGATAAATGAGTACACAGTCCACCTTATGGTATGTAGATGCTGTGACCCACAGACATCTACATCTATCTTCAATTGAGAGTCAAATTGCAGATACGTTGTCACCCCTCACTGTAGTCCTCACTAAGTTGAAGTGCCTCGTTTCCAGTGAAAAGTGTATCTGGTACAAGCACCATATAAAACAAAATACCAGCGTAAAATACCAGTTAATCGCTGCATTTTTGCAATTATTTAGCTGCAGAATGGCCCTAACATGTATAAAATTCAGTACCGTAAATACTGAAATACAGACCATAAGCCCAGACAAGAAAATCAGTTCAATTACAAACAGTTTGTAGGCCTGAGATTTAAGTTCCAGGCTCCGACTCAATAGGTAGGTACTCCGTCCGCTAACTCGTACAGTTGTGAATTAAGATACGTAAATATATTTCTTACTGTTTTCAACTTTAATTTTTAAATGTACTTTTTAACACACCATTATCATCATCATCACTACATCTCTTCACAAGTCCACTGCTGCACATATAATTCCCTCAAAGAATGCCACAAAGTACGGTCCTTAGCCACCTGCATCCATTGAATTCCTGCATCTCGTACCAGGTCGTCACTCCATTTAGTGAAGGGACGCCCTACTTTCCAAACTTTTTTCCCCACCAGTTGGCGGTTCTTCAATTTACATGGCCGGCTTATTGCTACTCCAGCTTACTAGTCCGTCGGGCTATATCGGTTACTCTGGTTCTACTGCGGATATCCCATTTCCGAAGTTTATCGCGCAGGGAAACCCCGAGGGTAGCCTTCTTTATATCTTGCTGAGAGATCTTGAGCTTCCTCATATGGCCTGTAGTGAAGGAACACGTCTCAGATCCATAACTCATCAGTGGCAAAACGCACGCATTTTAACACGTGCTGTCATTAAATTCGTATTTTGCGTTATAAAAAATTTTAGTTATCACCTAAATGGAAGGCTCAAGCAGGAGTATAGAAAAAGGAAGCAAGACGTCTGCAAAAGAATTCGTTGGAATGTATTATGTTGCTAAACTTATCAAAAAAGTTTAAATTTTCTAAAATATTAATTGCCTACTCATGGCATATATACATACATGTATATGTGTGTATGTATCATTATGAGATAACTGCAGTGAAAAATAAAAACAATTTTGAGACCAAAAATGTTACCACAGAACTATGTTTAATTTATAACTTAAATGAACCTCGAATCCGAATCACAAGTGTGAAATCACAATATTAGAAATTATTGTGAACAAGAGAATATAAAACTTATTTGATGAGGAAAAATGTTATTTGCATGGCAGGCGCAATTTTCAACAGAATAACAAATGTATAAAGGTTTTTTTTATACATTTGTTATTTTATTTTATAATTCTTGCACTAATAATCAATATTTTCTGTATTGATTATTAGTGCAAGATTTTTTTATTTGCCGATTATTTGCCGCGAAATTACTATGGTTAAATTATTAAGTTTTTTCAAGTACAGTATACGATAAATTTGCATGCTATAAGGCAATGTAACACTTGATTTTCTGTACCTACATTAATCACTAATAAAAACATATAATATTTTATTTTATTCTATTTTGTATATATACTATTTCTATTGCTCGCGTATCGTAAGACGGTGTAGGTACTTCATGAAAACTAAACAAGCAAGCAAAAACTAAACAAAATTATATACTAAATGTCTCGCTGCGGCACTTTCATAAACCTTTATATTATCTTACAGAATAAATATGGATTATCTATATAACTTAAACTCAAAACTTTGTTACTGGAGAAATCTCAAAAGTTCTGCGTGGTGTGTGGTGTTCTGCAGTTCTATTAAGTAAACAAGGCCGACCTAGACTAAGTTACGGTAGAACGATCACATCGTAACTCGTGACGCTGTACTTGTGGTTATCGCGTCAGTAATAATGAATATGTGTCGCAGGTCGCGACAGTATTTATGATACTTCCGACGTTAAAAAGGTTTTTTCTCGCTCTTTTCCATGCTGCATGCGTATTTGCAAGCGTACGACGGTCGATGGACAGTTACTTTATTTGAAACACTTTTGCTTTATATCAGAAAATAAATAATCTAAATAAATATGTAGCCGATTAAAATTCTAATACAATTACTTGCCTTTCATATTATCGAAAAATATTTTATGGTTATGGCAAGAACGAGAACTCCAACGTCAAAGATTTGTCCTGGCTATTAAATTATAATTTTTAACTTCCCGCTTTGAAAATTAATATTTTCAAAAGTAGGAAATTATAGATTGCAGTCCGATTTTAAGAATGCAAGTTTTCATCAGATATCCACATTTTACGGTCCTACTATTTCCGACGATTCTCGGCAGGACGTCCGGCCGTGTGAGATGGGCGACACGGCGTTCGAAAATGTTCATTGAGACTTCGGGCTGATTAGATTTTCAAATCAATCGGAAATGGCGCCACATTTCAAAGATTTTCAAAAAATAAAAAACAAAAAAAATTAAGAAGATTTTCGAGCGTTGCGCATAAAAATAAGAAGGAAGTTCCAGGAATGGCTTGCAGGGTCAACCGTTTTTCCGTTTTTTCATGTCGATTAATACAAAGTATTTTCAAAATCCATTTAATTAAGAATTTTATTGAACATATACTTCTAAGCATTAATCCTCGAGCGTCAAAACCGTGTATAAAATACAAAACTTTTATCCAACTTTGCCCTAAGCACCGTTATTTTTATACCACGTCAATGTGTAGTAGTAATACAACAAATATCACATATTGGTTTTAATATCAATGTAACGCTGTGATAATAACGACCTCTAAAATATTTTCTAACAGGTACTAAGTTAGTATCGAAGTATACATACGGTCATTATTAAACGGTCCGCGTATTTGTCGTAGGTAAAGATTTTATTTCCTACGATAGAGTTCGTAAATTCAATGATACAGCCGTTATACGCATGTTATCTTGTTATAGGTGCTAACGCTGGCTTGTCCTTTAGTTCATAAATAACGATTCCTTATATTGCATGCCTTAAGCGCAAAGAACGTAGGTATGTTCTACTAGCGCCTAAAAATCAAGAATCCAACGTTTTGTCACATGAAATCGAATCTAACAATCACATTTAACATATAAATGCTATAAAAAGCACATTATCAGAAAGATAAATGATTGTTGAACTTTTTTTTAATCGATTTATTGCTATTTTTACATTAAAGAGCGGTTTTAGTGACTTATGATGTAAATTTATCAAGTCCGCATGGAGGGGTAAACACGATAACTTTTGAAAATATCAAATGTTCAACTCAATCTCTTTTTTAATATCTTCATCTATCATGTGAGAATCCATGGAATGTAAATGGCAGTTTAA